GGAGAAATGAGGGCAAATGCAAAATTCTGAATAACAATTTTTTTAAAAAAAAATGCACCATCAATAAGATAACAGATATGTGACCAAAATCACTTTCTTTTTATGTAGTGTTGTTTATATGGATATATATGTGTTTTGTATACACATGGTGTATTATTTTGCTTTTATATGTTTAATAAAGTTTGTTTTTAAAATTGAAAAGGGAACAGCTGGGCTTGAGGCCCCCCCAAAACCCCCGGGCTTTGCATTCCCGCTAAGGGCCGCCGGCAAGCTCAGGTTTCCTCCGAAAAGGAAGAGTTTCTTTCTATAATTAGGTTGACCAACAGCTTCACAAACTCCTGGAAATCGACTTCCCCGTCGCCGTTCTCGTCCAGATCGTGCATGATCTTGTCCACCCCCTCCGGATCTCTCTGGGTCTGGAAAAAAACAGAAACCGGACAAGGATTTGGAGTGCCGTTCGATTCCCCCGAGTCAAAGGATACCGGGCGGCGGTATTTCAGCCCCCCCCGGCGCTCGTCCGTCTCCCTGACCTGTTTTCCCAGATTCCGACATGTAAAAATTCTAGTCCCACTTTGGCATGAAAGCCGGCTGGGTGACTTTGGGCCAATCTCCAGGAGACTGGGAGTTCTGGCTGACTGGGTGACTGTAGGCCCATCACTAGGAGACTGGGAGTTCTAGTTTCCACCTTAGGCATGAAAGTCGATTGGTTGACTGGCCCAATTATCAGGAGAGGGTGAGTTCTAGTCCCACTTTGGCATGAATGGCAGTTGGGTGACTTTGGGCCAATCACTAGGAGACTGGGAGTTCTAGTCCCACCTTAGCAGAGGTTGGACTTGTCGGAATAGAGGTGGAAGGGACCTGGGAGGTCTTCTAGTCCAGCCCTCTGCTCAAGCAGAACACCCTAGCCTAGACCATTCCAGACACATGGCTGCCTTAGTCCCTTCTTAAAAACCTCCAGGGTTGAGAGTACCCACTACTTCTGGTGGCAAGCGGTTCCACTGATGAATTCTTAGGAAATTCCTCCTTAGTTCTAGGTTGCTTCTCTCCTTGGTTAGCTTCCATCCGTTGCCTTCTGGTGCTTCGGAGAATAGGGAAACCCCCCCCCACCCTCTTCTTTGGGGCGGCCCCTCAAATACGAGACTCCTGCCATCTTGTCACCCCCTGGTCCTTCTCCCCTCTAGACTAGACTAGAAGACCTCCAGGGTCCCTCCCTGCTCTGTTTGTGACTGATTTAATTTAATTTAATTTAATTTAATTAATTCAATTTATATGCCGCCCCTCTCTGAAGACTCAGGGCGGCTGAGGAAGAAATTTATGCTAATTGTTTTTTTTTTGTTTTGTTTTGTTTTAGAAAGTAGCTGAGTCGCAGCTTCACACCGCAAGTCTTAAAAGGGAAACTGCACAATTGTTTTTTTTAACCTGATGGTGGGCAGGAGGAGCCCTCCCTATCCTGGGTGAGAATAACTCACCCAGGATCGATCGATCTATCTATCTATCTATCTATCTATCTATCTATCTATCTATCTATCTATCTATCTATCTCTATGTATCTCTATATCTATCTACCTTCTTTCTCCTCCCTGCCTCCCTTCTTCCTTTTTTCTTTTTTTCTCTCTCCCTTTCTTTTTGTTTTTCTTTCTTTCTACTCTTTCTTTTCTTTCTCTTTCTTTTTTCTCTCTCTCCCTTCCTTTTCTTTTTCTTTTGCTTTCTTTCTCTTTCTTTCGATCTTTGTCCTTTCTACTTTTTCTTTCTTTCTCTCCCTTTTTCTCTCTCTCCCTTCCTTATCTTTTTCTTTCTTTCTACTCCTTCTACTCTTCTTTCTACTTTTTCTTTCTTTCTTTCTCTCCCTTTTTTCTCTCTCCCTTATCTTTTTTCTTTCTACTCTTTTCTTTCTTTCTCTCTCTTTCTTTTTTCTCTCTCCCTTCCTTTTTTTTTTTTAAAAAAAACAAAACTTTATTAAACATATAAAAGTAAAATACTATACTATGTATATACAAGAGGCATATATATTAATATGAACGACAATACTTAAAAAGAAAAAGTGACTTTGGCCACACGTCCATTATCTTATTAACGGTGCATATTTATTAATTATTATTATCGTGCAAAATTTTACATTTACTCTCATTTCTACAAGTTATACAATCATACCACCTATTCCACGCTATATAACATTTTGGGTCTACCATGTCCTTCATTTCAAAAGTTAGTTTGTCCATTTCCACGCAATTAGATTTTTTGGATTATCAATTGGTCTGTTGGCAGTTGATCAGTTTTCCAATATTGGGCAAGCGCTAATCTGCCTGCAGTGATTATGTGTAATATTAAGTACTTTATTTATTTCCTATAGTTTTCTTTAATCATCCCTAGTAGAAAAATCTCTGGTTTGAGTTCTATTTTTTCCGATGTTATTTCTATTAGCCAAATTCTTACTTTTTCCCAATACTTACTAATTTTTGGGCAAAGCCACCAGATGTGGAAGAAAGTACCCTGTGCCTGTTTGTACTTCCAACAGGTTGAAGTTAAATTTGAATACATTTTTGCTAATCTCGAAGGGGCCAGATACCATCTATACCACATTTTGTATTGATTCTCTTTATAAACCACTGACTTTGTTATAATATAGTTATTTTCCCATACTTTTTCCCAGTCCTCCAGTTCTATGTTATGCCCAATATTTCTTGCCCATGCTATCATTTGTCCCTTTACTAATTCCTCTGCCAGATCAAATTCCAATAGATATTTGTAAATTTTTGAAATCATTTTTTCCTCCGTGGCTTCTCCAACTGATTCGGTTTTAATTCAATTACTCCTTCCTCTTGATTTTTTTTATATCTTGTTTTTATCTGAAGATAGGGGCCACCAGTCTATCTGTATCCCTTGATCTCTGAGTTCCTCTCGTGTTTTAAATGTTCCTTGAGAATCCAAAATTTCATAGTATCTTACCATTTTTCGAATTTCCTTGCTCTCCGAGTTCTTCTTGTGTTTTTAATATTTCCTGGGGATCTAATATTTCATTATATCTTACCATTTTTTGAATTGCCAAGATATTGGGGTGTATCATCGCCTCCATTGTGAATAACTATCCAGGAACTTTCATATAGTATTTACTTTTAATTTCCTGCCATGTATAAATTAATTAATCTCTTAATATATGATTGCAAAAATACCTATGTTTTTTGTTCCTGAGGTTCCACAAGAAGGCGTGTCACCCCATCAACAAATTATGTCCCTCCAAGGTCAATAGTCTTTTTTCAGATTCACCCATTTCCTGATCCATGTCAAACTTGTTGCTCTGTAATATGTTTCCCATGCTGGGAGTCCAAATACACCCCTGCCTCTATCGTCCTGCAAAGTACTTAATTTAATTCTTGGCTTTTTTCCTTCCCACACAAATTTTGTAGTTATCTTGTTCAAATTTACGGGAAAAAAATTGTCCAATTTTACTGGAATCATCTGAAATAAAATAAAGCAGCATCGGCAGAACATTCACCTTTATAGCTGCTATCCTTCCTAATAATGATAATTTCAGTTTCCCCCATTTTTCTAAATCTTCTTTTATTTGTTGAACTAAAGTTACATAATTATTCTCCTTTATAGTTGAGCATCTAGCTGTCAAATATATGCCTAAATACTTAACCTTTTTTACTCCTTGTAATCCTAATTCTTTAATTAATTCCTCTGTTTGCTTTCCTGTTACATTTTTCGTTAACATTTTGGTCTTATCTTTATTAATTTTTAAGCCAGCTTCGTTCTTTATACTTTTTCTTTCTTTCTCTCCCTTTTTCTCTCTCCCCCTTCCTTATCTTTTTCTTTCTTTCTACTCTTTCTACTCTTCTTTCTTTCTTCTTTCTTTCTACTTTTTCTGTTCCTCTCCCTTTTTTCTCTCTCCCTTATCTTTTTCTTTCTTTCTACTCCTTCCTTCCTTCCTTCCTTCTCCATTATATCTGAGAAGATATGGGTTTGTGGTTTTTTTCCACCCCTCTCTTCTGATTTCCCAAATCGGCTGGAGAGCAACAGAAAAAGTTTACATTCAGTTGAGTCTCTGCAGAGGGCAAACGTAAGTCAGATCTGCTCCCCAGGAACTCTCCAGAGCCAGGTTTTATATCAGAAAAGGTTCAAATCTGAAGAGTTTTATATTAAAAATGGGCTGCGTTTTTGTATCGTATTTGGAGTTGCCCCGTGCAACAGAACTCCCCTTTCATTTTTTTTTTTTTTTTTTTTCTTTTTTCTTTCTTTTCTTTCTTTTTTTTCACCTTTCCTTTTTTTTTCTTTCTTTTCACCTCCACTCCTTTCCCTTCCCTCTCCCTTTTTGCCTTTCCTTCCTCCTCTCCTTCTTTCCTCTTTTTTCCTTTCCTTTCCTTTCTGTTCCTTCCCTTCCTCCTTCTTTCCCCTTCCCTTCCCGTCTTCCTTCTTTCTCCTTCCCTTTCTCCTTTTTCCTTCCCTTCCCTTCTTCCTCCTTCTTCCTTCCCTTTCTCCTTCCCTTCCTCCTTTTTCCTTCCCTTTCTCCTCCTTTTTCCTGCCCTTTCTCCTTCCTTTCCCTTCCTCCTTTCTCCTTCCCTTTCTCCTTTTTCCTTCCCTTCCCTTCTTTTTCCTTCCCTTTCCTTCTTCCTCCTTTCTCCTTCCCTTCCTCCTTTTTCCTTCCCTTTCTCCTCCTTTTTCCTGCCCTTTCTCCTTCCTTTCCCTTCCTCCTTTCTCCTTCCCTTTCTCCTTCTTCCTCCTTTCTCCTTCCCTTCCCTTCTCAAGCATCATTTAACCCTGGATAGAAGCTTCCTTGATTTTGCTCCAGGCAAAAGTGGGGAAACTTTCGACCCAGGGAACAAAAATAATTTGGGGACAGAGCCTTCCCGGCCCAACCCAACCAGCCAGGGACACATCCTGTCCCTCCATCAGGCTAAACAAGAATCATCTCGCCCCTTCCTGGTCCCTGGGCCAAGCCAAGAGAGAATTCCGATCTGTTTAAATCCTGGCCACTAGGGTTTAGAATCAGAGTTTCCAAAGAAAACTCTTGCTTATGGGTGAAAAAGCTTTGGAGGAGGTTTGCCAAGAGGGGAGGAGAGCAGGCTGGGTCAAATACTCCAGAGTAAACTTCCCTTCCCCACCTCCCAGTGACGGCCCTATAAAGCCTCCCCACCTGAAGGTTTTCCTTGCAAGGGAGACCAAGGTTGAGGTAAGTGGCCAGGTGGCTGCAGGAAGCGGCCGTGGGGGACGGGATGGGACACAAGGGATGGAGAGGGAAGGGGGGGCCTGGGATTTTCCTTCGCTTGGAGGGCAGCTGGGGCTTGGAGGAGGTGGGTTTGGCTTACTCCAATCTGTGAATGAACGTTTGGGGATCAGTTAATCGTTGGAAAGCCAAGACTGACAGACAGACAGAGCTAGTAGGTAGGTGTGATAGGCAGACAGGGGAAGAAAGAAAGAAAGAAAGAAAGAAAGAAAGAAAGAAAGAAAGAAAGAAAGAAAGAAAGAAAGAAAGAAAGAAAGAAAGAAAGAAAGAAAAGAAAGAAAGAGTTAGAAAGATTCATAAATGAATGGATGGATTAGTAGATTAGATTAAAGAAAAGAAAAAGAGAAGAGAAAAGAGAGAAGAAAGAAAGAAGAAAGAAAGAGAAGAAAGGAAGAGAAGGAAGGAAGGAAGGAAGGAAGAAGGGAAAAGATTTGTAAATGGATGGATGGATTAGTAGATTAGAATAAAGATGAAAGAAAGAAAGAGAAGAGAGAAAAACGAGAAAGAAAAAGAAAGAAAGAGAAGGAAGGAAGGAACAGTTAGAAAAGATTTGTAAATGGATGGATGGATTAGTAGATTAGAGTAAAGATGAAAGAAAAAGAAAGAGAAGAGAGAGAAAAACGAGAAAGAAAAAGAAAGAAAGAGAAGGAAGGAAGGAACAGTTAGAAAAGATTCGTAAATGGATGGATGGATGGATTAGTAGATTAGATTAAAGATGAAAGAAAGAGAAGAGAAGAGAGAGAAAAAGAGAAAGAAAGAGAGAAAGAAAGAGAAGGAAGGAAGAAAATAAATGGATGGATGGATTAGTAGATTAGATGAAAGATGAAAGAAAAAGAGAGAAGAGAAAGAAAAAGAAAGAGGAGAGAGGAAGGAAGGAAGGAACAGTTAAAAAAGATTAGTAAATAGATAAAATAGTTAAAACAATTAAACAGATGGATGGATGGATTAGTAGATTAGATTAAAGATGAAAGAAAAAAGAGAAGAGAAAGAAAAAGAAAAAGAAAGAAAGGAGAGAGGAGAGAGGAAGGAAGGCAGGAACAGTTAAAAAAGATTAGTAAATAGATAAAATAGTTAAAACAATTAAACAGATGGATGGATGGATTAGTAGATTAGATTAAAGATGAAAGAAAGAGAGAGAAGAGAAAGAAAAAGAAAAAAGAAAGGAGAGAGGAGAGAGGAAGAAAGGAAGGAACAGTTTAAAAAGATTAGTAAATAGATAAAATAGTTAAAACAATTAAACAGATGGATGGATGGATTAGTAGATAGTTTAAAGATGAAAGAAAAAGAAGAGAGAGAGGAAAGAAAAAGAAACAAACAGAGGGAGGAAGGAAACTACAAAATAAATTTAAGATGAATTTCAGATTAAATATATTTAGGATCTCTTAACAACTCCCTGGTTTAGCGACCGAAGGGGCCGGTTCTAACCGCGGTCGTAAACCGAGGAATGCCTGCACCTCCTGGGACCGCTCCCTTTTCAACGCCGTCTCCACGAAACGCATCCCCATAGCTTTCTTCTTCATCACCCCCCCCCCACCTTCCTCTCCCTCTTCCCTGGCCAGCCTGCTTCACCCACCCCATCTGACCGAAGACGGACACCCCTCGCTCGCCATGACCAGCAGCGCAATGACCGAGCTGGAGAAGGCCATCGAAACAATCGTCGACGTCTTTTTCAAGTACTCCACCGTGAAGGCGACCAAGCCACACTCACCACTGGCGAGTTTAAAGAGTTGGCCACCGCCCAGCTGCCCAACCTTATGAAGGTGAGCACGTCCAGGGGAAGGGGGAGGGAAATGGGGAGAGGGGGCCCCACCCGGTTTAGGAGAACCGGAGGGGAGCACGTTTCCCCTTTTTAAAATACTTTTTCTCCCCTTCGTGCCTTTTTTTTCCTCTTCTTTTTTTTCCCTTCATGTTTTTATTCGGATACCCGTGTTCCCCCGAAAATAAGACCCTGTCTTATATTTTTTTTGGATCCCGAAATAAGCGCTTGGCCTTATTTTCGGGGAGGTCTTATTATTTTGGGGCTTCTCTTGCCGTCTTAGCTGATTTCTAGCTCTGCGTTTAAATATTTTCGGGGAGGTCCTATTTTTGGGGAAACAGGATAACATTCAATTTCCATCAAACAGCGGGTGATCTGGGTACAGTTATTTTTAGACCATCATAATCCACATATTTGTTCTAATATTCATCACCATAGTATTAATAATATAATAATATAATAACATACTTAACATCATCTTCTTTAGCAACTCTCCACATTAACATTTTTTCTTTTTATTATCTCCTTTCTAACTTCTGTTTCTATTGTCTAGCCATTGATAGAATACATCCCGTATCAAAAAATATTCAGTTTCTACTTTATCCTTAATAGCGAGCATTAGTCTATCCATTTCTGCACATTCTAATATTTTCTTCATTACATTCCCCTCTGATGGAATCTTATCGTATACATCATGTACATATGTACGTACGTACGTATGTATGTATGTATATATATATATATGAACACAAAGGGACACGGTGGCTCAGTGGTTAAGACGCTGAGCTTGTTGATCGAAAGTTCGGCAGTTCAGCAGTTCGAATCCGTCGTGCCGCGTCACGGGGTAAGCTCCCATTACTTGTCCCAGCTTCTGCCAACCTAGCAGTCTGAAAGCACATAAAAAATGCAAGTAGAAAAATAGGGACCACCTTTGGTGGGAAGGGAACAGCGTTCCGTGCGCCTTTGGCATTGAGTCATGCCGGCCACATGACCGCGGAGACGTCTTCGGACAGCGCTGGCTCTTCGGCTTTGAAATGGAGATGAGCACCGCCCCCTAGAGTCAGGAATATATTTGAATGAATTTCTCTTCTTTTGAAGAATGTTGGGGACCTGGATAAGAAGATGAAAAGCTTGGACGTCAACCATGACCAGGAGCTGAAATTTGGAGAATACTTGCGGTTGATTGGCGAACTGGCCAAAGAGATAAAGAAAGAGAAATTGGGGAAGGAGAAGTGATGGAGTTGTGGAATGAGGATTTGGGCGTCGAGAAGAAACGACCCGGGACCAGGACACCACAAGAGTTGCGTATCGGCGGGAGGACAACAAGACGTCAAGAGTCACCAAGCCTCTCTCGCAGCTTTTTAAAATTCAAATAAATCAAATAAATACCAAACCGGTGCTTTTCCATGTTACAGATGAAAATACCTAACCTGATATCTGTAAATATGTATGCTTGTGTACATGTCATTGCGTGATGTCACTGTGTCACTTACCATTGGTTACTACTTACCATTAGCCCCGCGTCCTCTGTATATAAGTTCTCACTCCTCCCAGATTGATGGCTGTCTAAATGTGTTCCTGAGGAAGAAAATAAATATTATTATTACAAGAAAGTCTACAGTCTCTTATATTGGGCCTAACCAGGATAACCAAACTAGTAACAAATTGGTAGCAAGAGGATGGTTTGGTAGGCCCAACCGAACATAAAGATGCAAGACTCACATAACGACAAAAGAAGACCTGCCACCAGATACATAACGAAAAGAATGGCAGCTCAACTAACTCCTGACAAATATACACCACTTGAAAATATTAAGAAAACAAACGCAATTACAAGAAAATGAACTGCTAACACAAAACGAACAACCACTAGCTGGAGCAGAACAAACGTTCTCAACACCAAACAAAGAAGATGAGGTAAAAAGAAAAATACTAGAATTAATAGAAACAACTACAGCTGAATCAAATCTGCTTGTGAAAATCCGCAGCATGATAAACGACCACGGAACAGCAGCAGATAACGAAAATAACAAACAAGAAAACTGCGAGGTAAGAAACTCAACCCCTGACTTCAAAAACGACACCAAAGATGGCGACAGCTTCCTGCCTTTTTCATGGCAGCCATCTTACCCACCTAATACTCCCAAAATGGCCGACCAATTACTAAAAGAATCCCAAACCTCAAACTACGAAATAAAAAACAAAACCTACCAAGAAGATGACTACCCGAGTCCAAAAACAAATAAAAAACAATTATTTAAACAAAACAAAGCTCAACCTACTGAAGTAGAAATAGACAATGCTATACAGGTGCTAACTGCAGCACTCGGGACTAAACGAACAATACCAAACAAACAACCAGAAAATGAAATAGAAAATTCTAAACTACCATCTACCAAAGGCCAAAAAGAAATAGACTGTCTAAAGAAAGGCCTAGCCACCCGAAGAAAGACAAGCTGGCAATCATACTTACCCACCGAAGAGCAGCTCCCTGAACAACCCGGCTCCATTGGCAATGGCGGCCCGCCTCAAGCTCCACTTAATGACGACCTCAGAGAAGACTCCCCGACGAGCAGAGCAGCACCCCAGGCATTCTTCAGTCACCAGAGGCCCTCCGGAAACAAAGCAGAGCAACAGAAGGCCGTCTGGGACTTCACCCCAGGAGCTGCAGACACAGGAACCTCCCTCGCCGACTGCTGGAGAAAAATGAGGACTGAGCATGCCCAGAACGAGCCTGCGAAGAAAGAAGAAGGAAACCTAAATACAAGTCAGCGCAACATAGAGTTAAGTAAATACAGACATACATCTACCATACCCAGGCCTTATTGTGAGTATGCTAAGGTCTTAAATCATGGACAGCTACTAAACATGAATAACACTTCACTACACTCAGGGACAATACCTCCAGACTTTATAAAATTGAAATTAGATGGAAGCAACTTAATGGAATGGGACCAGTGTTTACAGATTGTATATTTGAAAGAAAATGTTTTATTTTTTATTGATAACCCACCAAATAAGCCTTGGACCTATGAAATAGACTGCCTCCATCACAAAGCATATTATATATTAATTGTCTCTATTTCCCCAAGTATACTTCCCAGTATAGAGCATAATTTAACTGTATTTGAAGTATATCAAAAATTATTCAGACTGTTCTATAGCAAAAATGTAGCCACCACCACAAAAATCTCTAGGGAATTCTATTCTGCCAAACTAAAACATGATACCTCCATGAGTGAACATATCTTGAATCTAAACGCTGTAAGAGCAGACCTTATTCAAAGGGGAGAAACCATTTCTGACAACACCATGAAAAGCATTATAATTAACTCATTAGATCACAGCTGGGATAACTACATTACCTTAATAGATAACCTAAGTATAGAGCAAATTAATTTAGAAAACCTTACCAATAAGCTTATTACTGAAGATAGACTTAGAAGAGAGCGATATACACAACAAAGAGAAGGTAGAAATCAAAGGAGGACTGATTTCAGGGCCAGAGACAGATACCCACATGAATGTCTCACATGTGGATCTGAAAGACATCAGAGTAGAGACTGCCCCAAGAATATAGGATACAGTGACTCATATAAACACAAGGATAGGAGAATACACTTTTTAGACAGAACTTCCCCAGATTACAGGTATAGGAGAAGAGAATCACCACACTCTAGAGAAAGACAAACGTACAGAAATAACCCTAAAGAAAATAAGAAAGGATTACTATATGGAATAAGAAACAATAACACTTTGATGTCTGATTCACTCAACACCTGGCTCATAGATTCAGGAGCCACATGCCATACAACTCATAATAGAGAAATATTAAGCAACTTCACTGAAAAGAAATATTACATTAAAGTAGCAAACCAAAATAAAGTCCTAGTGAGAGGAATGGGAGACACGCATATAAAGGGTATAGGAAAAATAGAGGGGGTACTATTTGTGCCCGAAATTCCAAATAACATATTGGCAACCCTAAAATTAAGCATAGAGAATGAGATAGAAACCACTTTCAGAGGTGGAAAGGTATTTATGACTAAGAACAACAGAAACATAGGTAAACTATTTACAAATGATGGACTAACATACCTACTGCCACAAGATAACGAACTAGTCTATGCAAACTATCAATTAAGAAACGAAAAGCCAAATTCAGATAGCCATGATGAAAGTAATAATAAGAATGCATCGACCACTGATACTAATATGTCTGAAAATTTAAACAATGGAAGACCTATTCACGATAATTGTAGTCACTTACTCCACAGAAAGCTAGGACACGCGAGCTTCCCAGTCATACGAAAAATGTTAGAGTGTTCCGAAGATTTAAAAATAAAGAACTGTAAAAATTACTTAGAATGCTCTGTGTGCAATTCATCCAAAATTAAAAACAAACCAAAACCCAAAAAAGCCACTCGCACCACACAATCAACCTTTCAACTAATTCATATGGATGTAGTAGGCCCATTAAAACCTTCAATTAAATATAAAAAAAGATACTTTCTGACCATAGTCGATGACTACAGTAGATTCAGTTTTGTATACACCCTTAATCACAAAAGTGAGGTTTTCAAAAAATTTAAGGAGTTCTTTAAAATGGTAGAAACACAACACAATACCAAAATTAAACAAATAATGACTGACAGGGGGTCGGAATTCCTATCCAACGAATTTTCAACTTGGCTAAAATCACAAGGAATACTGCACTTTAAATCTTGTCCATTTTCCCCATTCCAAAATGGAGTTTCTGAAAGGAAAAATGGTTTGCTACAAACCATGGTTAAATGTGTGTTAGATGATGCTGGCTTAAACCAATCATTCTGGGCTGAAGCCCTTACTTATTCCAATTACACTATAAATCGCTTATGGTCCAGCACTATCAACAAGACCCCATACGAACTCATGTATGGAAGGAAACCAAAAATTGGGCATTTGCACGTATTTGGTGTATCTGCTGATGTATATGTGCCCTCACAATGAAGGCGCAAAGGAGAGAAAGTATCCAAAAGACTGATATTTATGGGGTACGAATCAGGAACCAAGGGATATCGCTTCATTGATAAAAATAACCACTTCATTGTATCCAGATCTGCCGTGTTTCATGAACACATGAACTGGTCAAAATTACATCTCAATGAAATTTACCCAGAATCAAAAAATATTACACACACGCGCACAAAACATCACACATCAGATACGAACCCCAAATCCACATCTACAAACAGAATCAAATGCCCAGTAATAGTTAATGATGAATGGAAAAAAGGACACCCCACTTTGAAGGTAGATCAATTAACCGAAAAAGAAGCTAAGTATATGCATAGCGATGAACATCCCCAGAATAGGCCCATTAGATCCAATAGGGGCATAATCCCTAAAAGATTAGATGATTACGTACTGTCTATCCAAGCTAAACACCTGACTCCCAACACATATGATGACATACTTAAGCTACCCATAGAAGAAAAAAGTAAGTGGAAGGAAGCAATGAAAAAAGAGATGGACAGTTTGAGAGAACTAAATGTATATACACCAACAGACCTACCCACTGAGAAATCCCCCATTGGCACCAGGTGGATCTATAAAATCAAAGAGCTAGAGGATGGTAAATTCCTATACAAAGCCAGGTTAGTGGCTCAAGGCTTTGCCCAAAGATTTCCGGATGACTATGAAGACACTTACTCCCCAACCGTTAGATCAGAAAGTGTGAAAACAGCACTAGTGTTAGCTTCTATCTTAAATCTGGAAGTATATCAATTTGACGTGCAGACAGCCTATCTGCACGCTGATCTAGATAAAGAAATTTATGTGAAAGCACCCCCAGGAAAAGATACAAAAAAGGGAGAAATTTGGCTATTGAATAAGAGCCTTTATGTCTGGTAAGCGATGGTATGAGTGCTTATCAAAGATACTTAAAAATATAGGCTTTGTAGCTACTTCGTCTGATTTTTGCTTTTTCCAGACCCAGAAATATCCAATCATGCGCGATCTGGACAAGAACGGCGATGGGAAAGTCAGTTTCCAGGAGTTCGTGAAGCTGGTGGCCGCCATACTTAGAACAGGAAACCCTTCCTTTTCGGAGTAAACCTGAGCTTGCCGGTGGCCCTTAGCGGGAACGCAAAGCTCGGGAGTTTTGGGGGGGGCTTCAAGCCCAGCTGTCCCCTTCGCAACGCCTTTTCCCCGTTTCTCGCGGCTTCTCTGCCCAACTGGGAGCACCCCGAGGTGCCATGTAATCGTCTGCTGGGACAGCCCTGCTGTTGATTAAAGCTGTTTAGTGTGCACTGCGCCTGGTCTGGTCTCTCGGGGGGGGGCAGGGAGAGCGGGGGGGGGGGTCTTGGGGGTGTTGGAAGAAATGTCCATCTGGGTTCAGTTACAAGTGGGGAAAAAGACACTGGAATATATGGAGACAATTGGGAAAGATGGTTTAATGGTGGACAGGATCACATGGCTTGAGATCCCGGTCAAAAAAGGCACATGGAGTGGAGAGAGAGAGAGATTTATACCCTCTATTGGGATTTGAATTTGAGCTCATGTCCTGATTGGTGGTCAGACTCCCATGGGACCATGCAGGGGTAACTTGGTAGGTTGTCTGTGTCCTAGGCTTGGTTGACTCCTGCGGGGTGATGATGTCACGAAAGGGCTTTCTTCTTTCTTCTTTTATTTATCCATCAATTTATATTCCTTCCTTCCTCCCTCCCATCTTTTTCTTTTTCCTTCCTTCCCCAACCAGATTCTTATTTCCCCCATCACAATAATCTGGAAACTCTAAAAAGAAAAAGAAAAGAAAAGAAAATCTCCCTTGCATGGCAAACAGCCTCATTGTTCCAGATTCCGAATTCAGAGGTAGACTGCAGCTGAGACTGGGGGTTCCTCGGATCGGCCACTAACCTGAGATATACAGCAGCCGGCAGCTTTTTCTGGGGGAACGTTCCCACAGGTGCTCTTTCCCTCCTCTCCTTCCACTCTCAGCCTGCAGCTAAAAAAAATTTAATTTAATTTAATTTAATTAATTCAATTTATATGCCGCCCCTCTCTGAAGACTCAGGGCGGCTGAGGAAGAAATTAATGCTAATTGGTTTTTTTTTAAGAAAGTAGCTGACTGGCAGCTTCACACCGCCAGTCTTAAAGGGGAAACTGCACGGATGTTTTCCCCTCCTGTAACACTCTGTGTTGCAAAATGGAGCAGATCCGTATTTCCCAAGCTGCCTGTCTCCGAATATCAGAGAAATATTGTTGCCATCCACCATCCCTTCTCCAACGCTCCCTGAATCGAATCCAGGGAATCCTCGACTTACGACAGTTCATTTAGTGACCGTTTGAAGTTACAAGGGCACTGAAAAAAGTGACTGGTGACAGTTTTTTCACACTTAGGACCACTGCAGCATTCCCCACGGCAATCAAAATTCAGACGCCTGGCAACCGTCTCCTATTTATGACGGTCGCAGCGACCCCGGGATGCCCTTTTGCGATCTTCCAACGAGCCAAGTCCAGGGGGACTTAACAAGCGCAGTGACCCACTTAAAAACTCCAGTAAGGAAGGTCGCAAAAGAGGGCAAAACCCACTTCACAAACGTCCCAAGCTGCGGAAATTCGGGACTTCATTCTAGTTGTAAGTCGAGAATTACCTGTCCGTCCAGGGTGGCTGCGGTCTCCGTGGCGGCCTCTCTCATCAAAGGGGTAACCGATACAAGAGACGAGGGATCGAGTGGCTCTGGCCAGCTCCGCGTGGATAATGGCGTCCGTCCCCAGAGGCCGCTCGGATGACCGGCATGAAAAGGATTTTTGTAAATCTGAATAAAATAACCACAAAATTTGTACGGGAAGGAAAGTATAAGTATAAGTATAATTTTATTTCTATACCGCCCTTCTCCCGAAGGACTCAGGGCGGTGTACAGCCTATTTAAAAACACAAGACAAACATCAATTAAAAATTTAAAATTATTAAATAAATTCGGCTCAAAAAAAGGCAAGAATTAAATTAAATATACTGCAGGATGACAGAGCCAGAGGTGGATTTGGATTACAGGCATGGGAAACATATTATAAATCAACGGGTTTGACATGGATTAGGGAATGGGTGAATTTGAAAAATCAAAGATTGCTAACCTTGGAGGGACACGATTTGATGATGGGGTGGCACGCCTTCTTTTGGAACACCAGGAGCAAAACACATAAGTATTTTTGTAATCATCTTTGAAGAGATTCATTCATTCATACATGGCAAGAAATTAAAAGTAAACACTATATGAAAGTTCCTGGATGGCTATCCACAATGGAGGCGATGACACAGCCCAATACCTTGGCGATTCAAAGAATGGTAAGATATAATGAAATATTAGATCCCCAGGGAATATTAAAAACACAAGAAGAACTCGGAGAGCAAGGAATTCAGGTTGACCGGTGGCCCTATTTACAGATAAAAACAAGATAGAAAAAAGACCAAGAGGAAGGAGGAATTGAATTAAAACCAAATCGGTTGGATAAACTTTTAGAAGCCACGGAGGAAAAATTGATTTCAAAAATTTATAAATATTTATTGGAATTTGATTTGGCAGAAGAATTAGTAAAGAAACAAATGATAGCATGGCCAAGAAACATCGGACATAACATAGAACTGGAGGACCGGGAAAGAGTGTGGGAAAATAATTATATTATGACAAAATCAGTGGTTTGTAAAGAGAACCAGTATAAAATGTGGTATAGATGGTATCTGGCACCTTCGTGGTGAGCGAAAATGAATTTGAACTTAAGTCCAACTTGCTGGAAATGCAAGCAGGCACAGGGCACTTTTCTCCATGTTTGGTGGCTTTGCCCAAAAAATTGGAAGTATTGGGGAAAAATAAGGATTTGGCTAATAGAAATAACATCGGGAAAAATAGAACTTAAACCAGAAATATTTTTACTAGGGATGATTAAAGAAAATTATAAGAAAGAAAGAAAGAATTTAATGCTACATATAGTCACTGCAGCCAGATTGGCGCTAGCTCAATTTTGGAAAACTGATCAACTACCAACAAACCAACTGATAATTCAAAAAATCTATAATTGTGTGGAAATGGATAAATTAACCTTCGAATTGAAAGATGAGGCAGACTCAAAATATTGTATAGTATGGAATAGATGGTACGATTGGATAACTCGGAGAAATGAGGGCAAATGCAAAATTCTGAATGATAACAAAAGAATTTTTAAAAAATGCACCGTCAATAACAGAATGGATATGTGATCAAAGTCACTTTTTCTTTTGATGTAGTGTTGTTTATATTGATATATATGTGTTTTGTATACACATGGTGTATTATTTTGCTTTTATATGATTAATAAAGTTTTTTGTGAAACCATAATCAGACGAGAACAGAGGCGCCATTACGGGCTGGGAACTCAGAGGACATCTAAATTATTTCAGCATAAATCATGCAAGAACATGGCATGAATTATTGAATCGAGCTCTTGACTTTGTTCCAGGTTAAACAGTGACCAAAATCAGTTTAGGCCAGGCTGGATCCTCCAGGGCCATTTTGTGAGTGCGCCCGCAAAACCAGACTCCAGACTCCTCCCTATGTCCCTGGGTCCATCTCCCTGCTTTCCCCAGGCTCCCCTCTTGCCTTAAGAGCCCCAGACTGCCTTCTACCCCTCTTCCCTAACGCCCTTGTAGGAAGTTAGCACCCACTCCTCTCCTAGAAAAATGAAATATTCTAGGAAATATTAAAAAAGGGGCAGAATATCAGCCCCCCCACCTTTCTCAATGGATCATTAAGGCCTGGGCCAGCCTATTCTACATAACAAAGATCTACGTCCTTCAGGCAGAGCCCTAGTAGGAATTGCCCAAAGCCCTTTCATTACATCATCACCCCGCAGGAGTCAACCAAGCCTAGGACACAGACAACCTACCAAGTTACCCCTGCATGGTCCCATGGGAGCCTGACCACCAATCAGAACACGAGCTCAAATTCAAATCCCAATAGAGGGTATAAATCTCTCTCTCATGTGCCTTTTTTGACCGGGATCTCAAGCCATGTGATCCTGTCCACCATTAAACCATCTTTCCCAATAGTCTCCATATATTCCAGTGTCTTTTTCCCCACTTGTAACCGAACCCAGATGGACATTTCTTCCAACACCCCCAAGACACCCCCCCGTTCTCCCTGCCCCCCTACCCCCCACCGAGAGACCAGACCAGGCGCAGTGCACACTAAACAGCTTTAATCAGCAGCAGGGCTGTCCCAGCAGACGATTACATGCCACCTCGGGGTGCTCCCAGTTGGGCAGAGAAGCCGCGAGAAACGGGGGAAAAGGCGTTGCGAAGGGGACAGCTGGGCTTGAAGCCCCCCCCAAAACTCCCGAGCTTTGCGTTCCCGCTAAGGGCCGCCGGCAAGCTCAGGTTTCCTCCGAAAAGGAAGGGTTTCTTGTTATAAGTATGGCGGCCACCATCTTCAGGAACTCCTGGAAACTGACTTGCCCGTCGCCGTTCTTGTCCAGATCGCACATGATCTTGTCCACCCCCTCCGGATATTTCTGGGTCTGGAAAAAACAGAAACCGGACAAGGATTTGGAGTGCCGTTCGATTCCCCCGAGTCAAAGGATACCGGGCGGCGGTATTTCCACACACCCGCCCGGGTGCTCGTCCATCTCCCTGACCTGTTTTCCCAGATTCCGACATGTAAAAATTCTAGTCCCACTTTGGCATGAAAAGCGGCTGGGTGACTTTGGACCAAACACCAGGAGACTGGGAGTTCTGGCTGACTGGCTGACAGTAGGCCCATCACTAGGAGACTGGGAGTTCTAGTTTCCACCTTAGCCCCGAAAGACGATTGGTTGACTGGCCCAATTATCAGGAGAGGGTGAGTTCTAGTCCCAGTTTAGCATGATAAGGCAGCTGGGTGACTTGGGGCCAATCACCAGGAGACTGGGAGTTCTAGTCCCACCTTAGAAGTTGAGCAGGGGTAGGACTAGTCAGAAGAGAGCTGGGAGGGGCCTGGGAGGTCTTCTAGTCCAGCCCTCTGCTCAAGCAGGAGATCCTAACCTACTCCTAGGCCATTCCAGACATGGCTGCCTTAGTCTCTTCTTAAAAACCTCCACAACTTCTGGTGGCAAGCAGTTCCACTGATGAATTCTTAGGAAATTCCTCCTTAGTTCTAGGTTGCTTCTCTCCTTGGTTAGTTTCCATCCGCTGCCTTCTGGTGCTTCAGAGAGTAGAGAAACCCCCTCTCTTCTTTGGGGCGGCCCCTCAAATACGAGACTCCTGCCATCTTGTCACCCCCTGGTCCTTTTCCCCTCCAGACTGGACTAGAAGACCTCCAGGGTCCCTTCCTCTCTGTTTGTGACTGGTTTGAAGAGAAAAGGCGGAAATCCATCGGTCCTACCTCCAAGCCGAACTCCTTCTGCAGCAGCTGCTTCAGCTCCTTCTTGCTCAGCTTATCCTTGTCGCCTCCTTTGCTGGAGTACTGGTGGAAGACGGAGATGATGATCTCCATAGCCGTCTCCAATTCCGATGGCATCCTGGGGCCTGCAGAGAGAGGAGAGAGAGAGAGACAGAGACAGAGA